GCCCGGCCCCCCCAGGCCCAGCAGCTTATAATTGCTCCGGCAGCCTCATTTGCATATCAAGGATCGCTGGCATCGGGACCTTCCCTTTTAACCCCTTTCCGCCTGGCCTGGCGCGGCGCGGTGCAGCAGCTGGGGCCGTCCCACCGCCCAAGGGCGGCGCCGGCAGGGCGGGGGCGCAGGGGGCGGCGGCGCAGGCAGGCAGTGGCAGAGGCGTCCCGGGTCTCCAGTGCCCATCTGGGGTCAGGACCTGCCTCTGCCCGGGGCAAATGCACTGCCCCCCGCCGCCCAGCAGCAGCTCAGGGAGCCCCCCAGCCCCCTGCTGCCGCGCAGCCCTGCAGGCACCCTTGCCCTGGGAAAGGCCCATTGCAGCTGCCCTGGGGCTCAAGCCCCATTGTACGTGTTGCCAGTGTCCTGCTCCACCCAGCAAGGCCAGGGCGGCCTGGGGTCAGCGCCACGCACGGGGAGCACGTGCAGGGAAGGGCCCTAGAGACTGGGAGCAGAAAAGCCCCTGGCCCCCTCCCGTCCTCCCCATGCCCCAGAGAAGCACTTTGGACTGGGGGCTCCTTGTCACGGGCCAGGCTCTGCCAAGCTCTGCGTCCTGCCACCCTCCGCGGTGCCCCACGGACGTGGCAGCCACAGGGCAATGGTGCCAAGCACAGACTGGAGCCCTGCAGGACCAGCCTGGCCGGACCAGGCCCCGATGCTCCATCCAGGAAGCTGCGGGGCAGGAGGCACGGACACGGATGCAGCCCCCGGCCTCGGCGCATACTGCGAGCAGGAAGGCGGGGAGGCATGGAGCAGCCAGGCCCTGCTACGGGGGTCACCTGGGGGCGTAGGGTGGCCAGAGGCACAGGGCAAGCGGGTCCAGCCGGGGCACCCAGGCAGGGGCTCAGCCGTATGGCGGCCACCCCGGCCCAGAGCCGCAGAAGAGACCGGACCCCGAGAAGCCGCGCCAGGCTGTGCCCAAGCCTGGGTGCTGCCCGCAGCGGTGGGGTCTTCCAGGGATTCCTGCTCACCCTGGGGCACCATGGAGGAAAGCAGCCAGGCACTAGCACCACCAGCCAAAGCCCAGCGCACACGTGTATGCGTGCATATAGGGCAGAGAACACAACTGCTCTGCGCATGTGCAGACTGTTACAGTGTGTGCATGCACGCATGTGTGTGTACATGTGTAAACACAGCTGCTCTTTGTGTGTGCAAGCAGCTCTGATGTGTGCACACATGAATAGAGATGCACTGTGCGTGTGCAAGATGCTATGACGCGTGTGTGTACACATATGGACACAGCTGCTCTGTGTGTGCGGGTTGTAACGATGTGTGCATGTGTGCACGCAGATGAACATGGCTGCACTATGACGTGTGTGCACATATGAACACAGCTGCACTGTGCATGTACAGGATGCTATGGCGTGTGCATGCGTGCGCACATGAACACAGCTGCACTGTATGTGTGCTGGCAGCTATGACATGCGCGCGCACATATGAACGCAGTTGCACTGTGCATGTGAAGGATGCAATAGCACGTGTGTGTGCACATGCACATTGCTAGAAGATGTGCGTGTGCAAACACAGCTTCACTGTGCATATGCAGGCTGGTATAGCATGTGTGTGTGAACACAGCTGACTGTGTGTGTGTATGTGTATGTGCAGGCTTCTATGGTGTGTGTGCATGTGTGTGCGTGCGTGCAAGCGGCTGTGCATGGGGCTCACAAAGCCAGAGCCGGGGGTGTTGTCTGCCTGACAGACGCGGGGCCGTGGGGCTGCACGTCTGCACGACGAGTCCCGTGACACACGTGCCGGGTGGTGGTGCAGGGCCAGGCCAGGCCGGGCCGGGCCGGGCCGGGGGGCCCTGTTGTTTGTGCTGCCGGCGGGGAGGGAGGCACCGGGTTCCTGGAAGCCGTGGTCCAGGGCCCCATGATAAGGGCTGGCGGGACTGGGTGACACTGATAAGCCGCAGCCGCTGGCCTATCGGGGGTCCAGCCCAGGCACCTGGCAGAGCCCCAGCACCCTGCAGCCTGCCACAGCCCCCGGCTCCTAGCCGGGGGACCAGGCCAGCATCACGTCACAGGGGCATCTGTGCTGTGGCCCTGGGGAAAGGACCAGGCGTCAGCCCCCAAGCCCGTGCAGACCACGCGCTGCACAGGGGCCACGGCCCGGGGTCTCCAGGGGCTGAGGGAGAAGGTGCACCCAGAGCGCTACCCTAGGCCGGGGCAGGTGGGACACGGCCACGGGCATCTGGGTGCGCAGACGGGGAGCAGCAGCAACACCGACATGGAGCGCCCGGCTCAGCACAGGCCGTGGGACCAGCCCGGTTCTTCCAGGCCAGAGCCATGGACCTGGCTGGGTTGCCCCAGCTCCACGCCCCGGGGCACTGGCTGGCACGTGGGTCCTGGCACCCACGGGCCTGGCGCTGGGTGGTTGCTGCGGCTCCTTCCACTGGGATTGCTGCTGCCCCCAACACCTCCCTCTGCCTGTCCAGGCCTGGCTACAGCCTGCAGCAGGGGAGGAGGGCACCGGACACCTTGGCTTCCTGCCCCAAGCTCCTCTTGCAGGTCCCAGAACTGCCCCTGCTCAGTCTGGAGGGGCTGGGACCCTGGGCAAAGGCAGGGCAGCGACACCTGGTAAAGCCCAGGCCAGTAGCCTGCCCCACAGCCCAGGGAGCAGGCCCCAAGGCAGGCAGGGGGTGGGGGGGGAGCCAAGCCCAGAGGCTGTCCCGTGCCCCAGCCTGTGTCTGCTCGTAGATAAGGAGCCAGCAGCCCCGATCCCTGGCCGAGCACGCGGGGCGGGGGACGAGCACGCTATCTGGGGCGTGCAGCTGCCGGGGAACGTGCACAGGCCGTCCGGGGCCACGGTGGGGAGGGGAGGGCAGGGGGCCTGGCAGGCAACAACCGGGCTGCTGCACCGATGCTCACAGGCAGCCCCAGAGCAACAGCCCCCACTCCCAGCCCCAACCTGCCCCCCACCAGCTGCCACGAGCCCTGGGCCGTGGGAGGGCTGGAGGGCAGGGGCACAGCAAGCCCGGCCAGGGGCAGCTCAGCTGCTTGGGCAGTCCCGTCCCCGCACAGACTCAGGGGGCCAGCGCACAGGCAGCCAGCGCGGGTGCTGGCCCGGGTCTCCAGCAGCAAGCACTGGGCTGGACTGGGCACTGTCTGCACTCACGGGGCACCGGGCATGGCTAGGCTGCATCCTCTGGCCCCGGGGGCTCCTGGTGCAATGCGGTTACTCCGGGCATGGGTCCCAGCCCACGTGCCCCCTGCGGCACTTCCAGGATGCACTGCCTGTGGCTGGCAGGGTCCAGCGGTGGCCACGGCCAGGCAGACCTGAAGAACCAGGTGTGGGTGACGCTGGCTGGTCACATTCCCCCGAGGCTGGGCTCCAGCATGGGCCCCAGGAGCACAGCCGGGACGTGGGCAGAGCACAGCAATGCCCCCGGCAGTGCCACGGCCTCTACCCCCAGCCAGTCCCAGGCTGCGGCTGCACTGGGGAAGGGGCTGTGAGGCAGACTCAGGACACATGGGCCTTGGGAGCTGCTGTGCCAGGAAGTGAGGCCAGGCTGGCGCTGGACGCCTGTGCAGAGCTGGGAGCAATGCCCAGGGATGATGCCAGCTGGCCCCGCGTCAACCTGCAAGTGCCAGGGCATTGCTCCTGGCTGTGGGAGCACCAGGGGCCAGGCCCTGTTGGCCACGGGCTGTGGGTGGGGGGGGGATGCCGCCAGCAGACTGGGCACCAGCCCTCGCCTGCCCGTTCTCAGTGCAACACGGGAAACTATAGGCCAGTCAGTCTTACCTCGATCCTGGGCAAGCTGTTCGAGAAAATTATTCTGGCACACATCCAGGAGGGGCCAGCAGGGAAATGCATGCTCAGGGGCAACCAGCACGGATTCATCAGCGGCAGGTCATGTCAGACCAACCTGGCGGCCTACGATCAGGTCACTAAATCATTGGATGCAGGGGTAGCAGTGGATATAGTCTTCCTGGACTTCCGGAAGGCTTTCGACACTGTCTCTCACCCCGTTCTCATTAGGAAACTGGGGGACTGTGGCGTAGACACCCACACAGTCCAATGGGTCGCCAACTGGCTAGAGAGCCGCACCCAGAGGGTGGTAGTGGATGGGTCCTTCTCGGCCTGGAAGGACGTGGGCAGTGGGGTCCCGCAGGGCTCGGTCCTTGGGCCTGCCCTGTTCAACATCTTCATCAGTGATTTGGATGAGGGGGTGCAAAGCACCCTGTTCAAATTTGCTGATGATACCAAGATGTGGGGGGATGTGGG